AGGTGAACTTCGAGGACATCATCGGCGAGCCGGACGCGGCGCAGGGCTTCGACGGCGCCTACCGCCTCGCCTTTGGCCTCTTCTCCTTTGTCCGCTTCTGGGTGTACCGCCTGCTGGCGGTGATCCTCGCCGTGCCGCTGGCCCTCGTCTGGGCGGTGGTCTTTGCCCTGCTGACGCTGGTCTCCGTCTGGCTGCTGACGCCTGCCTTCCGCGTCCTCGACATTGCCTTCTACTTTGTCCACAGAGTGAGTGCTTTTCTTTCTTTTTTTGAGCTTTAAAATGACTTGAGTTTGGTTTCGATTTCTAAACACGCCATGTTTCTTTTTTTCTATTTCCACCTAACCGCAGTTCTGGAACGCCACCGTGCGCACCCTCCTCGACCCGCTCTTCACCAGCATCGCTCTGGTCCGTGCCCAGGGCGTCAAGCCGTTGAACCAGACGCCGGTGGCCACCTGCAGCGGCAAGGCCGTCTACAAGGGCTGCGGCAGTGGTGGTGCCGGTTACTCGGCTCTGAGCACCTCGGAGACGGTGGCCAGCTACACGAAGACCGGCGAGGACGGCGGTGACCAGGTGGCCCTCAATCTGGACAACTGAAGAAGAAGCGAAGTAATAGAACATTGAAGAAGAAGAAGGAGGGGACAGGAATTAGTCGAGAACTCTTTACCTCGGATCTCAAGAACCAACAACAGCAGAACCTGAATATTCTTCATCTCCTTCTACTTCAACTTTACCACCATCATCACCACACAGCACAAAATCCACCACCACCTCAATAGAAGCATCTTTCTCTGGAAGCCTCAATACTCCTTTTCTAACGTTTGACTCTCGTTAAAGAAGACGCTCCTCTCGTTTTCTTCCTCTGCAAAGTCAATCCTCTCCTTCTCTCTCACACACACACAAATTCTATCCTATTCACTCACTCATTTTGTATTATTTTGAAATTTTAAAAGTAAATAAAGCGTGTTTATTCTTCTTACAAAGGAAAAAGTGTTAGAACTGCTGTTGGCATCGGAAATGCCCAACTCGTGCTTCCCCTTCCGCACCAGCCCCTCGTCAGTGGCCAGGGCGATGCCAATGTAGACAAAGATGGCGGATGAAAGTTGAAGGAGTCCAGCTCGTCCCTAGCCAATTTTTCAAAAATAACATAAACCTCCTCGTAATTGGCTAGGGACAAGCTGCTGATGGCCATGAAGAGCGCACAAAACGGAGCGCAATTTTTTTGTAGCACTCCTTGACGTACGCCTCTGATCGAAACAGGGCCATTATCCGGGGGGGTTGTGCCCGTAGGCCTTTGTCACCAGGCGTACAGCAGCTGGGTCCGCCTTTGGTGAGAAGGTCGGAGGAAGGTCGGCCGGTGGTGCAGGCAGCCTGTACTTGGCCGATTCTCTTCACCGCCCAGCTGTACATGCACCTGACGATGACGCACCAGGTACTTCCTTTTTCTCTGCCACTTCCTCAGCAGCTGTGGGCTGTTGGGGACCACGACGTGCTGACGGTGGCTGACGGGTTGACGTACTCGTATGGCTTGGCAAGTATGCACTATCCAGCAACGGCTGCTTGAGGAAGGCATCAGTTGGTTGGTGTGTACGCACTGGGCCCTAGGAGGAGGATGAGGATGCATGATTATCACTTCTAAATCCCGACACTCTCGATTCAAGTCAGTTACGATGTTAAATGTTTTCGAAAACTTTTGAAAATTCAAAACAATTTTCCGGAGCGCCATCTTTTGGATGCAGAAAGAACGAACGTGCTTGTTTGAAGCGGCCTCTAGCGGCAAGAAAGCAAAGCCTCGCTGCTGATTGTTTACAGTGTCGCCCATGTGCTTCTCATCTTTCACCCGAGTTCTATTTCAGTTTCATTTCCGTTCCAGATCACCTGAAGACCATCACCATCACCACCACCCAAATCAGCAATGGACAAGAGCAAGCGACCGACGTACCTGAATGCGAACCAGGTGGCGGCGCAGATCGCCGCTCCGGGCAACTTCAACGACGACCCCTTTTCCATTGAGCTGGAGCGGCGTGACCAGCTGCCGGGCGACAATGCCACCGCCACTGATGACAAAAGCTCCCGGGCCGCCGCCTTCATGGCGGCTGTCCTCGAGGAGAAGGAGGCCCTGCTGAAGGAGGCGGAATTTGTGCGCAAGCTGATGCGCCTCGATGAGCTTACCGTCGGCAAGGACGACGACGACGAGGAGGTGGTCCCCAAAAAGAAAGCTTCTAAACCGAAGAAGAAGGCTGCACCGCTCAAGTTGAACAAGCCTCGGCGGAAGATGATCATCAGCGATGATGAGGACGAGGACGACGACGATATGGTCGGCGGCGGCGGAGCTGCTAAAAAGACCACCGCAACTGCCGCCGGTGACGACGACGACGGCAAAGATCTTGAGCTGGACGCTGAGAAGGCCGCCGAAGATGAGGACACCGACGAGGAGAAGCCGCTGGATGAGGAGGAGGATTTTGAAGAGGTAAGAGCTGTTTTCGAATTCCATTTTCCCCATTTTCTAAAATCATTTACTTTTCTCAGGACAACGATTACATGAATACCCACTTTGATAACGGCGAGGGCTACGACGACTAGGTTTTCTTTCTTCTCCTTTCCTTGTACCCCTTACTGCATCAAATCAGATCATCGCCTTCATTCACCCCCATCATCATCATCCTTTAAATTACCCTACCACCATCAAATTCTTTTGGTGCCACCTTATTCCTTCCCTTTCCATTCTGGCACTCTTCCAGTTTGCACCAACAGTTTGCACTGCTGCCGCCGCCGGCGCTGCCTTCCACTGCGCATGAGTTTGCAGTCTTCATCGGCAGCGGCAGCAGCAGCACATGGTCGAAGCGAAGAGAGTGAAAGAGCGAGAGTGATTGTTGTGCCTCACACACTGCCACTGCAGGTTCCACTTCTTGAGCTGAGTGGACGATCACGCCAGAGTTTCAGCAAAACCTCTCTTGGAATTATCACCACCACCACCACACCCACTTCAATCCCAGAGCAGACATGAGCACTGCCGCCGTCTTCACCACCCCAAGCTGCATCGGCTGCGGCGGCGAGGCCTCCTCGCTGCAGTGCCCGAACTGCGTCAAGCTGGGCATCGAGGGCTCCGTCTTCTGCTCGCAGCAGTGCTTCAAGAGCAGCTGGCCGACGCACAAGCTGCTCCACGGGCCGAAGACCACTTCCACCACTTCGACCACCTCTGGCCCCTTCAACCCCTGGCCGAACTACAGCTACAGCGGCCCGCTGCGGCCCTTCTACCCGCTGTCGGCGAAGCGGCACGTTCCGCCGGCCATCCAGCGGCCCGACTACGCCGACCACCCGAAGGGCCACTCCGCCTGTGAGATGCGCATGAAGGGCATCACCGACATCAAGGTAAGAGGAGGAGGGAATAAAAAGCAAATGGCAATTTTAACCTCATCTATGTTTCCAATCCTAGGTGCTCGACGATGAGGAGATCGAGGCGATGCGCGTCGTCTGCAAACTGGCCCGCGAGGTGCTCGACGTGGCCGCCGAGGCCGCCGACGTGGGCGTCACCACCGACGAGATTGACCGCCTGGTCCACGAGGCTACGATCGAACGGGACTGCTACCCCTCGCCCCTGAACTACTACAACTTCCCCAAGTCGTGCTGCACCTCGGTGAATGAGGTCATCTGCCATGGGATACCCGACCAGCGGCCGCTGGAGAATGGCGACCTGCTCAACGTCGACATTACCGTCTTTCACCGGGGCTTCCACGGCGACCTCAACGAGACGCTCTTCATTGGCGAAGTGGCCCCCGAGCACCGGAAGCTGGTCGCAGTCACCCACGAGGCGATGATGAAGGCGGCGGCGATGATCCGCCCCGGCGAGAAGTACCGCGACCTGGGCAATGTCATCCAAAATACGGTCACCGCCCACGGGTACTCGGTGGTGCGCAGCTACTGCGGCCACGGCATTCACCGCCTCTTTCACACCACCCCGCNGCAATGTCATCCAAAATACGGTCACCGCCCACGGGTACTCGGTGGTGCGCAGCTACTGCGGCCACGGCATTCACCGCCTCTTTCACACCACCCCGCAGGTGCCCCACTACGCGAAGAACAAGGCCGTCGGGCTGATGAAGGCCGGCCACACCTTCACCATTGAGCCGATGGTCAGCGAGGGCGTCTGGCGTGACCGCACCTGGCCTGACGACTGGACGGCCGTCACGGCCGATGGCCGCCGGTCGGCCCAGTTTGAGCAAACCTTTCTGGTGACGGAGACGGGCTATGAGATTCTGACGCGACGACGGGCCAATGGCGGGCAGCCCTACTTTATGGATAAGGTGTAGAGGAGTGAGGAGATATGAGACCAGGTAAGTGCTCATCTGTCTCTCTCACTTCTTTCTACCCTCTTTCCATTTCCCCTTTCTATTTGTGTGTCTTTCTCACTATGTGTTTCTACTCTCTGATGATTTCAAGGGGAGACGATGTGTACCCCTTCTCCTCTCTTGCCTTCTTGTCGAACTGTGCGCGCCGATGAACGCTAATGATGATACAATGTGACACCACTCTAACTATTGGTGTAGACACACTATACTTTCTATTCTCTTTTTCTCTCTTCTCTCTTTCTGATCTCCGCCGTCTTTGTTCCTCTGCTGCCTCACCATCCTGTTGAGAGGGGAGAGCGTGGTCGTCAGTAGTATAGTAAATAACACCGGAGCATCGCTCGTTAATTGATCGATTTGTGAGCCCCCTGCACAGCGAGAGCTTAGCGTTTTGCCTTGCTCCACTTCTATCTATCCATCCGTCCATTCGTCCGTCCCTATGTACTCTTGGTCACCTAGCTCTGCTTTCCAATCCAATCTTTCCCTTCCAAAATCTACCCCTCAATTTCTCTCTTCTTCCTCACTACCCAAGCAGAGAGTGCCATCGACCTGAGTACATTTACAGCTCACAACTCACATTGCTATTGGCGAGTG